TTATCCATGAGGCAAATTTAGTTGAATGTTTGTTGTCATTTTGTCTTGTAGGCAGCACATGTCGGTGTTGGGATCAGTGGAGTTGAAGGTCTGCAGGCAGCCAGCGCTTCCGATTACGCCATAGCTCAGGTATAGTAATTTATTTAGATTTAGCCAAGGCCAAAAGCGAAACTCTCGTGGCGCCTTTTAAAAAATATTTCTGAAGTAATTCAACTTTGTCACCTTAAAATGAACCTGAGCCTGCGATCAATTGAAAGCCAATAACTGGTCAGCGAGAACTTCAAAGAAACGCGTCACCTCAATGAGTTGTACACCTGAGGCCGCGATACAGTCATGTGATACTGGTCAGCGGATACCCTATGTTGTGAACCCAAATATCTTGGATACATAGATAACGAAATTTTATTACCCATGGTGCTCTGCTATCAACTTACGCTAAGCGGTTTAAAAAAATTGCCTACATTTCATCTCCATTGTGAAATTTTATTCACCAGGCAGAGAAACATTTATCAGCATTTCTTAACCAAAGTTGGTGTAAATCGGTGTAGAAGCACGACTGCGTATTGCTGGCCACTCTGTGCCCGCATGACTGCACATATAATTTTACAATAACGTTGAGTTATTAGGGTTTGTTTCTTCGTTCACAGTATTGCTTTTTGTGTTAAAAGGCTCGACAATGTATGTTTTACCTTTCTCTTTTATAGTTCCGTTATTTGAACAAACTACTGTTTGTCCATGGAGCGTGGAGTTATCAGCGTCTTGCAAAGCTCATCCTGTACTCTTTCTACAAGAACGTCTGCCTTTATGTTATTGAGGTGAGTAAAAGAGTAGTATACAGCGCCCCGGTGAGGCCTTCTTTTTGACGGGAAATCTCATTAATTGGAGGGGGAATACATTAGCGCTGATGACGCCTTATCCTTTTGTCCTTATCTCATGAAAAAAATGTAGGGGAATCTCGTTAAGTCATGTGCTATTTATACGTGGTTAAACCCGTTTGACAGGTTATTTAGTTATTTTTAGATCGATAACTTTTAGAACACCAATCAAAACCAAAACATTCATCGATCAAAAAATAGTGAAAGAACGTGGATTGGTTCCGATGTTGTTAAAAAGTAAAGTTCAACGTAGACGAACCTTTTGTATCATCAAAGGTCTAACAGCCCGGTGCACTATCGCCTGATCTAATTGATCCTCATCTGTCCTTGCAGCTTTGGTTTGCACTTGATAATGGATTTTCAGGTCAGATCCTGTTCGACAAATGGTGCATTGGTATTTACAATGTGGTAAGTTTTCCTTTGAGTTTCCTTGCGCGGTCTAGTCACAGACAATCTGAAGAGAAGAGAGTTTCTTAACGAGAAAGCGCGAAGAAAGAAATTCTACCCAGTTAATTTTTTTCCAGCATTCTTGCTCTTTAACTCGTGAATACTCTAAAGGTATTTCACGACGTTATCGCTGTGGGTTGAAATGGCTTATTTCTAGAAAATGAACTCGTGAATACGCGAAGCGTGTTTTGACCGGTACGTGCACGGCAGCCGCTATTTTTCCTGGTTTTATCATTTATATCACAAAATATTTATCTTATCGCATCACTGTGTATTTTCTAAACAAGGTATTCACGAGTTTCCAATAGTTTTTACTTCGATTATTTGTACTCTGACTATTGTTCTTTTCTTAATTCCAGGTTTTCACATCAGTTCCGCCTCTTGCTATCGGGTTATTTGATCGCACTGTATCTTCTGATAGCATGCTAAAATATCCCAAACTGTACAAGGCGTCACAGAATGCTGAGATATACAACAGCAAGGTACGGACTGAATTAGATCAGATGTCGGGCCATTTTATCTTATTGTGAATGTAAAAATCATTAGATTCCACAACCTCATAGTAGGAAAGATTAGCGCGGTTGGTTGTAGTGTGTGGCCTTCTGGGATCAATTTAGGTCTCCGGGAAACTGCCCCCTACCCCTCCCTTAAGTCAACATTAACACTTACTTCTCACT